GCTGCAATGAACATTCGTGTGCACGTGTCCTTATAGTAGAATGATTTGTAATCCTTTGGATATATACCCAGTAATGGGATTGCTGGGTCAAATGGAATTTCTATTTCTAGGTCTTTGAGGAATCGCCACACTGTCTTCCACAATGGTTGAACTAATTTACACTCCCACCAACAGTGTAAAAGTTTTCCTATTTCTCCACATCCTCTCCAGCATCTGTTGTCTTCAGATTTTTTAATGATCGCCATTCTAACTGGCGTTAGATGGTATCTCAATGTTGTTTTGATTTGCATTTCTCTGATGACCAGTGATGATGAGCATTTTTTCATATGTTTGTTGGCCTCATGTATATCTTCTTTTGTAAAGTGTCTGTTCATATCCTTTGCCCACTTTTGAATGGGCTTGTTAGTTTTTTTCTTGTAAATCTGTTTTAGTTCTTTGTAAATTCTGGATGTCAGCCCTTTGTCAGATGGGTAAACTGCAAAAATTTTTTCCCATTCTGTTGGTTGCCGATGCACTCTAATGATTGTTTCTTTTGCTGTGCAGAAGCTGTGGAGTTTGATTCGGTCCCATTTGTCTATTTTGGCTTTTGTTGTCAATGCTTTTGGTGTTTTGGTCATGAAGTCCTGGCCTACACCTATGTCCTGAATGGTTTTGCCTAGATTTTCTTCTAGGGTTTTTGTGGTGTTAGGTCTTATGTTTAAGTCTTTAATCCATAGGTCTTATGTTTAAAGTTAATTTTAGTGTAAGGTGTCAGGAATTAATCCATCTGGAGTTAATTTTAGTGTAAAGTGCATTCTGCACATTGCTAGCCAATTTTCCCAACTCCATTTATTAAACAGGGGATCCTTTCTCCATTGCTTGTTTTTGTCAGGTTTGTCAAAGTTTAGATGGTTGTAGATGTGTGGTGTTGCTCTGGAGGCCTCTGTTCTGTTCCATTGATCTATATCTCTGATTTGGTACCAGTATCATGCTGTTTTGAGCACTGTTGCCTTGTAGGGTAGCTTGAAGTCCGGCAGCATGATACTGCCAGCTTTGTTCTTTTTGCTTAGGATTGTCTTGGCTATGTGGGCTCTTTTTTGGTTCCATGTGAAGTTTAAAGTGTTTTTTCCAGTTCTGTGAAGAAGATTATTGGTAGTTTGATGGGGATAGCATTAAATCTATAAATTACTTTGGGCAGTATGGCCATTTTCATGATATTGATTCTTCCTTACCAGGAGAATAGAATGTTTTTCTATCTGTGTCTTCTCTTACTTCCTTGAGCAGTGGTTTGTAGTTCTCCTTGAAGAGGTCCTTTACATCCTTTGTTAGTTGCCTTCCTAGGTATTATACTCTCTTTGTAGCAATTGCGAATGGGAGTTTGCTCATGATTTGGCTCTCTGTTAGTCTGTTATTGGTGTATAGAAATGCTTATGATTTCCGCACATTGATTTTGTATCTTGAGACTTTGCTGAAGTTGCTTATCAGCTTAACGAGATTTTGGGCTGAGACGATGGGGTCTTCTACATATACAATCATGTCATCTAAAAATAGAGACAATTTGACTTCCTCCTTTCCTGATTGAATACCCTTTATTTATTTTTCTTGCCTGATTGCTCTGACTAGAACTTCCAATACTATATTGAAGAAGAGTGGTGAGAGAGGGCATACTTGTCTAGTGCCAGTTTTCAAAGGGAATGCTTCCTGTTTTTGCTCATTCAGTATGACATTGGCAGTGGGTTTGTCATAAATGGCTTTTATTATTTTGTGATATGTTCCATCAATACCTAGTTTATTGAGAGTTTTTACCATAAAGCGCTGTTGAATTTTGTCGAAGACGTTCTCTGCATCTATTGAGATAATTATGTGGTTTTTGTCTTTGGTTCTATTTATGTGATGGATTACGTTTATGGACTTGCGTATGTTGAACCAGCCTTGCATCCCTGGGATGAAGCCTACTTGATCCTGATGAATAAGCATTTCGATGTGCTGTTGCAAGAGATTTGCCAGTATTTTATTGAAGATTTTTCCATCTATCTTCATCATGGATATTGGCCTGAAGTTTTCTTTTTTCGTTGAGTCTCTGGTGGGTTTTGGTATCAGGATGATGTTAGTCTCATAAAATGAGTTGGGGAGGATTCCCTCTTTTTCTATTGGTTGGAATAGTTTCAGAAGGAATGGTACCAGCTCCTCTTTCTATGTCTGGTAGAATTTGGCTATGAACACGTCTGGACATGGACTTTTTTTGGTTGGTAGGCTATTAATTGCTGCCTCAATTTCAGCCCTTATTATTAGTCTATTCAGGGTTTCAGCTTCTTCCTGGTTTTGTCTTGGGAGGGCGCAAGTGTCCAAGAATTTATCCATTTCTTCCAGGTTTACTGGTTTATGCGTATAGATTTGTTTGTAGTAATCTCTGATGGTAGTTTGTATTTCTGTGGGATGGGTGGTGATATCCCCTTTATCATTTTTTATTGCATCTATTTGATTCTTCTCTCTCTCTCTCTCTTTTTTTAATTAATCTGGCTAACAGTCTATTTTGTTGATCTTTTCAAAAAACCACATTCTGGATTTATTAATTTTTGAAGGGTTTGTTGTGTCTCTATCTCCTTCATTTCTGCTCTTTAGTTATTTCTTGTCTTCTGCTAGATTTTTATATGAAGCTGACAAACATATGAAAAAGAGCTCATCACCACTGGTAATTAGAGAAATGCAAATCAAAACCCCATTGAGATAGCATCTCATGCCAAGTAGAATGGTGATCATTAAAAACTCTGGAGACAACCGATGCTGGAGAGGATGTGGAGAAATAGGAATACTTTTACACTGTTAGTGGGAGTGTAACTTAGTTCAACCATTGTGGAAGACTTTGTGGCGATTCCTCAAAGATCTAGAAATAGAAATTCCATTTGACCCAATAATCCTATTACGGAGTATATACCCCAAGGGCTACAAATGGTTCTATTATAAAGACATGGACATGTATGTTTATCGTGGCACTGTTTACAATCGCAAAGAGCTGGAACCACCCCAAATGCTCATCAATGATAGAATGGACAAAGAAAATGTGGCGCATATACACCACATAATATTATGCAGCTACAAAAAATGATGAGTTCATGTCCTTTATAGGGACATGGATGAACCTGGAAACCATCATTCTCAGCAAACTAACACAAGAACAGAAAATCAAACCCTGCATGTTTTCACTCACAGGCGAGTGTTAAACAATGAGAACACATGGACACAGAGAGGGGAGTATCACTAGGGTCCATTGGGGGGGCTAGGAGGGGATAGGGGGGGGGGGGGGGGGGGAGGGATAATGTGGAGAGAAATGTGAGGTATAGGTGTTGGGAGGATGGAGGCAGCAAACCACCTTGGCCATGAATGTACCTAGGCAACAATTTTGCATGATCTGTACATGTACTCCAGAACCTAAAGTACAATTTAAAAAATCAGAAAAAAAAAGATGGTAAAGTTGAGACAGGTAAAATGTGTAACATTTACTGAATGCAGAGGAGCAGAAACTGGGATTTTAGAGGGAGACCAAAGATATAAGAAGCCAAAGAGCAGTGGGTACAATGTACATTCGATATGGATATCCTCAAAGCCTTGACTTCATCACTGTGTAACCTATGTGTGTAACAAAATTGCACTTGCAACTCATACATTTATACAGATATTACTTTAAATGAATAGAGCCCAAGGATCTGCAATAAAAAAAATCAGAAAGGGGAACAGCAGGAGATGAATCCAGAAAGGGGAGGTAAAGACCATCTTTATAGATAATCTTAAGAATCACATGAAAGATTTAGGGACCCATCCTAACATCCATGAGACCCTTGAAGGATTGTAGGATAGTGGGCTTATGTCTGTGTTCTGAAGAAACCACATGGGCAAATGCAAACAGAATGGATTGGTAGGTAGTGTGGCTGGACACAGGAGACCAGTTAGAGACTATGACAGTCAGGTGGGCGTCGGCTTGAATCAGGACTGTACAGTGAATGGTGTTTTTATGCTATTAAAATAATTCAAAACACAGTAGTAGGTTGGGGAGCATCTTTCTGTTAGGCAGATGACTTTTTTTTTTTTTTTTGTAATCCTAAAGACACACCAATTCAAAAAATTATTGGAAAACATTTGCAGTGAAGCAACTGCTTTTAAATTGCTGTCTGATTCAGGGTGATTTCCTTAATTACTCCATGCCTTCATTTTCTCATTGTGCCTCATTGACAAAATGAGGATAAGAATAGTAGAAGCACCGTCTTTATGAAGCTGTTACACAGATTAAATGAGGCAATTATTAAAAATTAGCTGAAACAGTTCTTAGCAGATAGCAAGGCTCAGTATGTATCATCTATCGTCATGGTCATTATCATCATCATCATTGTTTTTTTTTTATTTTTTATTTTTCTTTCTTCTTTTATTGGCATATGGAGCTTGGGAATATTAGTGGGAGAACAAGATGACCATGTGAGGCATACAAAAGGCACCATGCTGGAAAGAATCCAAGGGAATGAAAAATCACTTATTTAAATCAAATTTAGACACAGACTTTGTATCTCTTAGATGTAAATCATGTCTAAATACAAATCTAAATCATATTTACAAATAATTATTACACAAAGCCTATGTAACACATCCTTTATAGTACACAACTGTAAATAAGAATACAAATCTCCACTGCTGTGGGTTCAAAACACAGCAGGCTTGGACCACTCAAAAATGATATTTGAGAGAAATTAAGTCATCCTGAAGTTCTGCAGGCAGATACTAGCAGACATACCACTTTGACACTTTTCATGCTGTCATTCAGAAAAAACAGAATACATGTGATACATTAGGAACATTGATAAAGAACATATATGCAAATTATATCTTCCAACGATTTATCTGTGATATATGAAAATCATTTAGAAGATGTAAGCTTAAAATATATCTTATGGAATTCCGGAAAACTTTTTCTTTACTACATCCTCTCCTTTTGCTCTGGGCGTTTCAATTTATTTATCTATGGTCCCATATTTTCTCTGTGTAGATAAGTAGGCTGAGTATGAATCCTACTTCATAATGTGGCTACAAAGTCAGAAAAAGCACTGGGCCAGGAGTCAGAATATCCAGGTTATACTTTTGATTCTTTCATTAAACAGCTTTGTGACACTGAAGGAGTCTGCCAAATTATTTAGATCTAAATTATTCTTGTCTGTAAAGCTGAAAATAAGAGAGAACTGGGCTAGAAAATCTATAGGGTTCCTTTCACTCCAATTTCTACCAGTCTTTTTCTAAATGGGATCATCTCTAACACAAAGTTACAATGGTGCATCAGAACATCCTGTGACTGACCTTCTGTTTTGCTACTTTTTGATCTGATGACAGATGGCCTGCAGATAGATCAACAACCTAATTGGGAGTAGATAAGCTGGCCAGATTGGTGAATGACTGAGAAGAGACTGCAAAGGAATAATATACCCTTTCATTTGCCCCTTAGCGCAAAGATGAATCAGGCTATGGAGGGGGTCAATTCGCTGTACTAGAAAGGATTGATTATATAGGCAGAAAATGCAAAAGTTTTAGGTCTTTATAGCCATGTCTGCCCACATATGTATTCACTTTTCCATGCTAGTTTTTCAGGATAGAAGTTGCATTAAATTTATACCAATTCCTAGCTACTGGCCTAGTAATTAAGAATCTACATTCAGTTGTAATGCATTAATAAACATAGGATTATAGAAGACATTTACTATGTAATGCTACCTTTAATTAAAGTAACTCAATTTTCAAAGTAGTTTCACCAACTTTCCATCTGATTCCAACTCTAAAAGGTAGTAGGGACTGGAATTAACAACTCCAGATTACAGATGAAACATCAGACTCAGAAAGGTAAAGGAGCCGCTTTAGTATCAAAAGGTCAGAAGCTTGTGAATGATGAAGCTGAAGGTAGGCCCAGATATGCTAACTCCTTGCCCAGTCCTCTTTCAAAATGCCACTTTGCTCTTACAATGCATTATGCTGGTAAGACACTCTGTGGATGTATCTGTATATCACATAATCACTGTCAGAAAAACAACCTCAAGTTCTCTTGAATGACTTAAAGCTGACTTCCAGGCTGTAATTCAGTGTTGTTAAGGGATAATGAGACCCACACAAATGTGCTGACAGCACTAAACAAAAACAATTTTCACCAGTACCTAGTATGGAAAGGACTGCTGGCAGCACGTTGGCCTCTACTGTCCTACCTACACACACCTATAAAGCATCAGTCAGTCTCACCTCTGGCCTGTATGCTTTGTGAAGATGACCAAACAAGTTTGTTTAAAATTTCTTTTTTAAGGAAATCATTAGGTATATTCAAAAGGGTCATCCACTGTATTGTTTAGAATTTAAATGTACCAAATTTTTCTGTTCTAAAAATGTCTGATAAATTCTAAAGTACTAGTTAACTAACGGTCATCCATTTTCTTTTTTTTTTTTTAAATGTGGCTGAACTACATGCAATGTGCTGAACCAGTTTTGGAATCCACCCTGTAGCAGAGTAAAACTGGACCAAAGGAAGTGGATTCAAGGCTCCAGGCTGTCACTCCTCCAGCTACTCAATCTACAGAGTTTTCCTTCAGCTGTTTTTTGTGATTTGTGGTGATTTGTTTTGGATTCCTCTGTATGACAGACAGGTCTGATCTTGAGGAAGACTGGTAGCCCACATCCTCTGCTTTTATGGGCTTAATGATATGGCCGGGCTTGGTAATGACCTTGAGAGTAGTCAGCTTCTGAAAAGCCCTCTGAGTGTTCCACGTGGATCCTATGGGAGTCTGGATGATCCTTTCAAATTGCTGATGGTGGATAAATGGATATGGAAGCACTCGTACCTGATGAGCCGCTGCATGGTTGTTGCGCTTCTCATTGATAATCACATTTAGCAAATTCTTATCTTTTCTTGGAGGACCCTCTGGGGCTTTAATGAGAAACTGGCGTCTTTTCTTGGCACTGGGCTTTAGGCCCACACCACCCCACTCACCCCAGCCAGGTAGTATCAGGTCCATGTCTTTTGGCTTACTCGCCTCTACGGCTTCCTTCTCTTTCAAGAAATCTCTGATGACATCATCCCCAGCAAAAGCTTCCTTTATCATCTGCCTTTGGTCTCTCTCCTCTTCATCTTCCAGCTCCTCTATTGTTGTGGGAACTGCCAAAGACCTCATGGAAGGAGACTGTGTGGTGAGGAGGTTCTGTAGGTCGATCATTTGCTCCTTCTTCTTCTCCTTAGGGGCATCAGGCCAATTATTTGGGGTCCTCTCTGACTGCTGCCCTTCTAACACAGGTCTGGGAAGCCCCTTATTTTGAAAACAATCTTCTTTTCCCAGCTCTTCCAGAGTCTGTACTCTCTCTGGCCTCTCTGGCAACAGGGACTCCTCTTCTTCTGGGGCAGCTTCATCTCTCTGGACCTGGGGAACTGTCCCCTCTGAACTTGCTTTTTTGCTTCCTGGACTGATGGTTTTTCTTCAGTTTCTGAGTTAGTGCCCTCAATTCAGACAGCACCTCCTGGCTGCTAGAATCTTTTGTTTTTTGACTGCCTGCTGGCTCAGCATCTTGGTTGAGCTCAGAACTTTTTCTAAGGGATCTCCTTTCCTCAAATCCTCTCAACAAAATTGCTTCCTCTGCTGCTGGTCTTTCTTCTCTCTCACTTCCAGAGACCTCATGGGCTGCAGGCTCTGGCAGTTGCTCAGGGTTCTCCTGGGTTGCAACCTCTTTGGTGTCACTGGTGTAGCTCCTGAGCATCCAGGGATTCAGTCCATCCACATTCTTCTGCACTTCATTCACTACCTCAGGAACAAAGAGTTCTTCTACTTTTGTGCCTCCCTCCTCTTCTTCACTCTCAAAGGCTACCTGGAGTTTCTCTGTCAGTTCTTTGTTCTTGGTCAACTGTTCCTGCATAGCTTGGCGAGCCTCCAGGTCATATTTGACCATAATTGCCTTTGACTTGGCCCATTTCCCACTGGATTGGTGCTTAAGGCTCATTCTATCATTCTGGCATTTTCAATTTTTTCCAGTTCTTCCAATGCTGCAGTCGGATTAACCTTCTGCAGCTGCTCAAAGTCTTTTAAGGCTTTCTTGGCCTTTCCTTTCTTTACAACTTTGTGATACTTTTTATTTTTGATTTTCTTCTCTCTTTGAGCCTTGGCCTCATAGTAGGACTACCGAGCCCGGGCCCTCTGAAGCTCTGCTCGGTGCATCTTTGCCTCTTCCAGGTTCATGGCTTGGAGACAGGCCTTTTCCATGGGAGTCAGTAAAGGGTCTGTCACTGGCTGCTTGTTCTTATGGAGGAGGGTAAAAATTTCCTGCTCCAGGGGAGTTCTTGCCTTCCAGCCACTGAGCACATGTTCAATGGGGGCAATGGCTGGCTGCTCCTTCCCTAGGGGGAAAGCCATCATCATTGTTATGAAAGTTGCTCCTTTGAAATCATTAAAAACAAACATGAGGATACTAGAACTCTGATGGCGTCAACTTTCTAAGGTCTCAGAGAGATAGTGGAAGAGTCAGAGTATCCTCAAAGTCTTTTTGAGCCAGTGGGTAAAAATGTGAGTGATGATCCTGATCATGATCAGAGGTGGTTCTGGGAGAGACTCATCCAACGCCAATGTGAAAAGCGGAGGGGTTGGGGCGGGGGCATGATGAGAAACAGAAAGTCAGAATAGAAGATGATAATACATTTTTCAACTATTAGAGCAGACACCATAGGACAAATAATAAATTACAAAGAGCAAGAGATAAACATATAAAATGGCTGAAAATTGATTTTTGTTTTTTGTCATAGAACAGAGATCTGGGATCATCACAAAAGAATGCACAGAAAAAAGATGAAAAGATTAAGCAAATAGGAGAGAATAAATGTAGACAGTAGAAAATATAAAGATAAATGGTGTCCTTATTAGTAAATTCAATGTGCAGAACAAAACATATTTAAAGGCATAATATAGGAAAATTTCCCGAAAGAAAGAAAGATGTAAATTCATAGTTAGAAAATAAAATTCTGATTGATCAACACTGGGGCATGTCCTAATAAAATTACCAATTGGTAGAGATAAAAAATTATATTTCTGATACCCTAGCAGAAAAAGTGAGCCACATACATGAGGAACGAGTCGTCTGAACTTCTTCTTCTTGACAGTAATACTTAATGCCAAGAAATGATGGATAAATTTCAGCATAGTACTGGCGACCTGGATAGAGCTTATAGTACAGATGGTTTCTTTCTTACTCCATTTGTGTTGCTATCAAGGAATATCTGAGGCTGGGTAACTTATAAATAAAAAGAGGTTTATTTGGCTCATGGCTCAGTAGACTGCTCAAGAAGCAGGGTGATGGAATCTGGTTGGCTTCTGGTGAGATCCTCAGGGTGCTTCCACTCTTAGTGGCAGGCAAAGGGGCACTGAAGTGTGGAGGTCACTTGGCAAGAACAGAAGTAAGAAAGAGGGAGGTGCTAGACTATTTTAAACCACCAGCTCTTGGGATAATTAAGAGGATGAGAACTCACTCATTACTGCGAGAGTGGCACGAACATGAGGCATCTGACTCCATGAAAAAAAAACATCTCCCATTAGGACCCACCTCCAACATTTGGGGTCAGATTTCAACATGAGCTTTGGAGGGGGAAAATATCCAAACCTCAGCAGTCCCCAATTTACAATGGTTTGATTTACAATTGCTTGGCTTTACAATGGTATAAAAGCAACAACGCCTTCAGGAGAAACCGTACTTCAAGTACCTATACAACATTTCTGTTATTCACTTTCAGTATAGTATTCAATAAAGTACATATTCAATACTTTATTATAAAATAGGCTTTGGGTTAGATGATTTGGCTAAAGTAAATATTCCAAACACCTTAAAGCTAGCTTAGACTAAGTCATGGTGTTCACTAGGTTAGGTGTATTAAATGTATTTTTGACTTACAATATTTTCAAGTTATGATGGGTTTATCTGGATGTAATTGCATCATAAATTAAGGAACATCTGTATTGTTAGACACAGAATATAAAAAAATGCAATAACCATATGCCTTTCTTACAGCAAAACAAATAAAATGGCCAATTAAAGAAGAACACAAAAAATTTAAAAATTAAAAAAAAAGATGTGTAAAAATCTGGATTGAATATTGCATTTATTTGATATATAGTTAAGACTTAGGTAACTATGCAAAAGAGTACAAAATATTATAATTCTTAGTAATATAAAAATCATGATTCACCTTACACAACTTAGAAGTGGGAAAAGGAGCGAGTTGAGAAATTAGAGACAGGGTAGTTTTACCACCTGATCTCACTTATTTTATAGTAAATAAATTTAAACCTTCTGAAATTAAGGATTGTTGTTAAAGAAATAATGAGTCTAACATTATAATGCCATTTGCATAATTGTTTTTATTAACGTTGGAGAAATAAACATTTTAATAATAAATATTTTTGCCATATATTTATTTTATTGCATTTTAGGTTTTGGGGTACCTGTGAAAAACATGCAAGATTGTTGCATAGTTACACATGTGGCAGTGTGATTTGCTGCCTTCCTCCCCATCACCCACATCTGGCATCTCTCCCCTTGCTATCTCTCCCCAGCTCCCC